TGGTGTTTCATGCACTGCACCCGCCATGCACCTTTCTCCCCAGGAACTCTTTATTTTTTTAATAAAGATTTTATTTCTTTACTTTTTAGAGAGAGGGGAAGGGAGGAAGAAAGAGAGGGAGAGAAATGTCAATGTGTGAGAGATACCTTGGTTGGTTGTCTCTTGTGCGCCCCCTACTGGCGACCCAGCCTGCAACCCAGGCATGTGCCCTGACTGTGAATCGAACTGGTGACCTATTGGTTCACAGGCCGGCGCTCAACCCACTGAGCCACACCAGCCAGGGCCCCAGTAGCTCTTTAGAACCTACCAATAGTTTCTTTTTTTTCTCTGTTGCTTAGGTTGCTCAAGCATGTTGGTCTTTGTGGGTTTTTGTTTGTTTGTTGGTCTCCTATTGCAGAATGAGCACAGAAACAAGAGTTGAAACTGGATTGAAAAGACGAAGCTGGGTCCGGCAGGGCTGCTGAGGTCAGTGGGCTCCCTGGCATCGTGCAGGGAGCGTGGCGCAGCCTCGTTAGGCCCACGCACGTGGACAGGACCCAATCTGTGAGGCTCGCCAAGAAGTGTCTGAGGGAGGTGCCTTTCCACGTGAAATACCCCCCGAAGGCTGAGAAACCATGGCAGCGTCCATCTCCTTAGTAACCTGAGAACTCCTTCCTCTGCACAGGTCATTCAGAACATACACTGCTTTTCCAAGGTCTCCGGAATAGGAGACGCCTCCCCCAGTGAGGGTCCCCGACAAGCACTCTATCCAGTCAGACGTTCACACAGTCCGTGTTTGCTCCCTGCCGGGCACTGGGATATAGGACAAGACCCAGCGGGGGAGGAGGTCATCCACCCATGGTGATGGCAGCTGTGACGAGCGTCATCCCCAGGCGGGCCTGTGAGAGGAGCTCGGATCCGAGAAGCCAGGCCAGGGAGCTTTGCTGGGAGGTGGAGACTGGAGCTGAGATGTGCTGGGGGTGGGGGAGGACCCCAGGCTCCAGGCAGAGGCAGGATGGGGAGTTCTGTGCTGGCCGAGGCAGGAAAGGTGGGCTGCTGGCCTCAGCTTCTACCTAACGTGGTGAGGCCACTGGAGAGTTCTGCCCCCCCACCGTGCAGGGAGTGGCTTTGGTTTCTAAGCCATTGCTCTAGCGGTCACCTGGAGACCAGAATGAAGGAAGGGGGCTGGAGTGGATGGGAGAGCGGGGCAGCTGCAGCGGGCAGCGTGGGGCTCCATCTTGCATGGCAAAGTGACCCTGCGACCCCAGGTCTGGTCTTGAACCGCTCTAGAAATATTTCGTTGTGTGTGCAAGAGGAGGGACGTCCTCCCTCTGTTGGGGCACCATGTGGATTAAATGCAGTCATAACTGAAACATGTTTCCCACGGACCCAACCTCAGTAAATGTTCAGTGCACAAGAACTCTCCATCTTGCCAATGGTGCGTCCTGGACCTGTTGGTCTCCAAGCCTGGCGGCGCGGGGCCGAGCTCGTTTTATTTCCCTCAGCTGGCCTCCTTCCCCTCTGCGAGCGTTGCTAGTCTGCTGGTGTGTTGGGCTCAGGACTTCGGCGCAGTTAGGGTGTCTCCTCTGGATGTGACTGTCTCCCGCTGGGCAGTGGGCAGGGCCTTTTCTGCTTCCCCACATGTGCTCGGAACTGTGCTGCAGCAAATCACCCCCCTCCCCAGGTCTGCACTCCATGCCTCCCCTTTGTCGGGCTGGGGGTGTCCGCCCCACACCAAGGCGGCTGCTGTCGGGGTGCCCTCCTGACCTCGAGACAAAGGCAGCGCCCTCTTGGGGCTGAAAGCCTTCCATTGAGAGCCCAGCCCACGAGAGCGCGCCTTTGAATCCCGAACAGAACCGGCATCCCACACACTCTGACTCAGTCTTGAAGCATAAAAGGACATGACGTGAGCTTTGATTAATGAGGAGCCCTGAACAGATCCGTTCCCAGAACTTTCCCTGCCCTGAGGCACATCGACTCCTGCGAGTGGCTTCCGACGATGGGTGATCAAAGGGGCTGGTGCTGCTCAGCTTCCGCTCTACAAACCAAAGGCCGATTGTGTTTGAGGAGAAGAGAGGGCCTCACACTCAGTGGGGTGTCTGGTCCTGGGTGCTCTGGGATAAGACCCACAAGTTTTCAAGGTGTCCACATCGAGTGAGTTTATCATCTTGTCTCTGGACGGTGAAGACGCACTTCCCCTAAGCTGGCAGGTCCTGCCCGAGGTGGGGGCGAGCAAGCAGCTTGGTCTGTTTTATTAGCAGACGGCGTTCTGCGCTCCTTGAGTGAGCGAGCAGATGTGAATAAACAGGGGGCTCCATCTTGGAGTGACACGCCACTCGTCTCCCCAACTACTAAGTGGTTTGACCCCCTAGCGAATGGCCCACACACAACGAAGTTCAAGTGCTGGTTCTAGAAAAGTCCATTGAGCCAACAGCCTCACAGCTTGTGACCTTCTTGAACCTCGTGCTTTCCAGACGGCCAGGCCTGGCTCCTTAACTGCCCCCCCCCACCGGGGGGCTTTCCCTTGCACCAGCCAGCACTGGGCCAGGGCTCTCCTCGGGGACTTCTGTCCTCGTGACCATCTGGGAGTTGGAGGGCTGCATATAACTCACCCTCTGAGTTCTCTCTTCCTTGCGCTTGTCGGCTCTGCTTTGGGGTGATGCAGTGATAATCTGGTTGAGACACTAGCCACCTCTGTCTTGGGCCCACCTGAAATCTTTCCAGTGCCCCAGGCACACCATCCTCAGGTCACTGAATAGGATGGCGAGGTGCACACACCTCCTGCCAGGATGTCGGCTGACGTCACATGCATCTCATCATAGGTGAGGGGCGTGGCGAGAGGCTGGACTGCAGGCGGGTCAAAAGCTTCTTCCCCTCTGTCTCAGCCGGTTCAGGCTGCTGTCACAGAAATGCTGTAGACTGGGACTCAAACAACAGACGTTTATTTCTGCCTCTTCTGGAGGCTGGAGGTGCAAGGTCAAGGCAGCCGCAGAATCCGCATCTGGTGAGAGCCAGCCCCCTAGTCCCTAGGTATCTTCGCTGGTGTCCTCACACGGTGGGAGGGGCCAGGGGGCTCCCTGGGGTCCCTTTAATGAGGACACTAATCTCATTTGTGAGGGCTCCACCCTCCTGACCTCATCACTTCCCAAAGGCCCCACCTCCTCATATCATTGCCTTGGGATTAGGTTTCGACAGAGGAATTTGGGGACGCAGCTCAGCGGCCCTCCTTGGAAGGTTTTACTCCCGGAGGCGGAGGCGGCACGGAGGGAATAAGATGGCGGCCAATCAGATCCGAGCTCAACCTCTCTGTTCTCCGTGGTTCTCACCTGCAAAACGGGGGCAATAGTTGCCACCTCACACCGTGACGGCCCGGTTCAGTGAGGCAACCCGTGCAAAGCGTTGATGTCTAACGGATTTCATCCTTTATCATTTTCCCACCTTTTCATTGTGGGAGACCAGAGACCTCAAACATGTGGAAGGGACAGCACAGTCAATCTCCTTGTACCTACTGCATCCGTCTGCTCAGGCTGCCATGACAACGCCGCAGACCCAGTCGCTTCGGCAACAGACATTTATTTTCTCGCAGTTCTGGAGGCTGGAAGTCCAAGGTCAGGGTGTGGGCAGGGTTGGTTTCTGGTGAGACCCTTTTTTTTTTTTTTTTTGGCTTGCAGATGGCTCCTTCCTGCTATGTTCTTTCACGGAAGAGGCCATTCCTGGTGTCTCCTCCTCTTAAAAGCACGCCACCCCCATCGGATCAGGACTGTGTCCATGCGACTTCCTTTAACCTAGGTCACCTCCTTAAAGGCCCTGTCTCCAAACGCAGTCGTACTGGGCGTTAGGACTTCAACATATGGGTTTCGTGGGGGACACGACTCAGTCCACTGCACACATATCTAAATTTTAGCAGGAATGTACCTGACCTTGCTACTGTATGAGTCCCTCCTATGGGCATAGACTCATTGCCTTGCATGGAAAGCTAGAATTTGGGTAGTGAACATGTAGGATTTTTTTTGTTGGTCACGTTGAAAACACTGTGGGTCTGTGTATGTGTGGATGTGTGTGGATATGACAAACAGTTTCCAGAAGATTCCATACATTTTCCTTTGCGATTTTCCTCCCTATGATAACTTTAAAGAAAATGGTAAAAAAAAAAAAAAAAGCCTTTAAAAACACCATACTTCTGTTACCTTTCTACATTCCCAAAATTTTGTATTGGCAAAATATTCTTTTAAAATTCTTAAAATGCACTTAATGAAAACTATGTGGAACCGAGAAATACAGCCCAGATAGAGCAGGAGACAAGCTATTTGACAGTCACTGGGTAGTTATTTGTAGCGAGTCCGTAGTTTTGAGCCCAGTTCCCTGTCGGGCCCTGCGTGTTTCGTAGGCCCTCTGCCCGCCCTGCCCAGCTGAGTGTGTTCAGCACAAATACGGGCATAAGGGAACTCGGCCCCCGGGAGCTATATATAGCACATATGCAGAAATTCCGAAGCCAAGCAGGACTGACTTGGGAATTGTGCCTCTCACAGTAGCACCTGTTGAATGTGAAGAGTCAAGCTCACGATTATCTTTGTCTCAAAGCACAGTTGTGCTCACTTGGGCCTTTCCCCCAGACATCTCAGGATCCCCGGGAGTGTGTGGGACCTCCTCGTAAACCACACGGAATGGTTCACACCCTCTATTATGCCAAACTTATTTAAAAACTTTCTGAAGTCCCCGCATTTTAGGCTACGATGAGCTGGTCTCCCCATTTCCGCACTCAGTGCTGACCAGCCCGGAAAGGCCCAGACTAAGTGTTTGCGGTTCCTGGTGTTGCTTTTTGGAGAAAGTGACGCCACGTGTAGTGGTTCTGGGAGGGACGGGATTGGGGGCATCTCTCGTGTGGAGGAAGGAGCTACGGGGGGGACGGTGCGGTTCGTGGCCTTTGGTGGGGAGCACGAGGGTGATTCTGCCTGTGCTGTGGCTCTGTCCTTGGCATCGCTGAGAGCCAATGACACAGTAAATGTTCTCGTTGTTGACAGCATCGCGCACGGAGACTCCTGCTCCGCTCCTGAGGGTGCTGCCAGCTCAGATCCGGGCATCGCGTCCCCAGAGGTGACTGAACCGAGGAAGCACCCACAGAAAGCCAGCGGCCCGGAAGACTCTCCACTGCCCAGCCCACCAGCGCCCTGGGAGCAGGACAGCCCCTCGGGCTCCATGCCCTTTGCCGAGGGCCCCGCTGACGAAGCAGGCTCCGCAAGCCCTCTAGCTGCACCTGAAGGCTGGCCCCTCATCAGGCCCCTCGGTCGGCACCCCAGGAGGAAATCTTGCCCAAGTGTCCAGCGGTACACCCTGGCAGCGCCTGCCCCCCAGGGGGACAGCCCTACTGAGCACAGTGCAGCTGCCATTGTCCCCAGGGCTGGAAGACAGAACGACCCAGAGGAAGAGGGGAACATGCCCTTTGCCGAGGGTCTCCCCGAAACTTGCCTAGCAAGCCCTCCAGCTGCCCCCGAAGGCTGGCCCCTCATCCGGCCCTTCACTCAGCACTCCAGGAGGAAATCTTGTCCAAATGTCTGGGGGTACACCCTGGCAGCGCCTGCCCCTCACAGGGACAGCCTCACTCGGCACAGTGCAGCTGCCATTGTCCCCAGGGCCGGAATAAGGAACAAACTGGAGGAAGAGGGGCACATGCCGTTTGCTGAGAGCACCCCCGAAGTTTGCTCAGGAAGCCCACCAGCTGCCCCTGAAGGCTGGCCCCTCATCCGGCCCCTCGGTCGGCACCCCAGGAAGAAGCCTTCCCCAAATGTCCAGGGGAACACCCTGGCAGCGCCTGCCCCTCAGGGGGACAGCCCTACTGAGCACAGTGCAGCTGCCTTTGTCCCCAGGGCTGGAAGACAGAACGACCTAAAAGGAGAGGGGCGGAAATCAGCTTCCATTGATCAGTCGCCAGGAATTTCCCCAGCACCTTCCAGAGAGCCCGTGGTGGGGCAGCCAGCTGGAGAGGCGGGCCAGCCTGGTGGCTTTGACTCCCAAAGGAAAGAGGCTGCAGGTGGCCTCCCTCCACCGGTGTCGGGAGTGCAGGCGGCCCCCACAAACCCTTCTGCAGCCCCATCAGACGAGAAGAGCTCAGCTGCCCTGGAGGAGGGCCCCCCAACGCCTGAGACCCCGGCCCCAGAAGTGCCACCCCCCAGAGCCTCAGACAGAGGAAGTTGCCAAACAGAGATGCCGCCGCAGGATTCAGTCGCTGACTCAGTTTCCCTCGGGGCCCGCTGTCCCACGAGGAGCCATTCAGGGCCTGCTCCAGAAGCCGAGGCCGCTGCTTCCCCCCGGGAAAGCGGCCGGCAGCAAACGGGGGCACAACTGCCGTGCGCGGAGCCAGCCTGCGACCTGCCAGGTCCTGCCCTGGCTCCGGGGGCCGGGGGGTCTCGGATGGAGACTCTAGACGCCAGTGACGCTCAGCATCCCTTGAAGACAGGGATGCCAGGACCCGAGCCCAGTAAAGCCGCCGGTGGGGCAGCAGGGGACCAGCCTGAGGCGGCTTTGCTTGTGAGTGCTGAGCAGCCGAGTCCAGCTTCGGGCCTCACTTCCCAGCCCGGCGCCCAGGCCTCGGCTGCCGCAGAAGAACCCGGCTGGCTGACCAGGGAGACGGTTCCGGGGCCTGCGGTGCCTGTGCTTACAGATCCAGCCAAAGAGCCGGCAGAGGCAGGGTTGGCGGGACAGGAGACGCCCGCGTCAGACCTCAGAGGTGAGGGAGGGGGTCCGGAAGGGAGCCCCCCCACCGACGGTCCCGCCCATTTGCCCCAGAAGGAGAGCGGGGAGATCTGCCGCACGGAGCGAAGCCGAGAAGTCCAACAAGGGGTGCCGCCCCCTCCTCCCAGCGCACCAGACGAAAGTGCCAGAAGGTCACCAGGGCCCAAGGATGAAGCCAAGGCCCCCGACAGCCCAGGTGTGGCTGAGGGGGAAAGCAGACACTCTGGGGCTGCTCCTACAGGACAGGAAGAAGCCCCAGAGCCACGTGGCAGCGCAGGTCCTGCGAACCCGTGGGGAGAGCACCCCCAGGCCCTCGGCTGCAAGCCCGACCCAGAGACGGAGAAAGAGGAGGTGTCAGAGCGAACCAGAGACGTGGAGAGCGAAGTCCTTCCGAGCACGGCCTTAGCACAACCCCGCAGGAAGGAGGGGCCCGGGTCTCCGTCAGAGGGTGCGGCTCCCAGCCCAGTGGCCCGTGGGGCTCTGGGAGAAGCCCGCGTGGTCCAGACACCTGGCTCACTGCACACGCTCCATGCTCAGGGCCCCATCACACCCCCCGCCCCGGATGGAGCTGGCAAACATGTCGTTCCCGGAGGAGCTGTCCAGGAGGGGCCAGGACTGCAGCCCCAATGTCCTGACGACGTCCTTCAGGACGTGGGGGCACTGGGAAGAATGGACTCTCTTCCTGCTTTAGAATCTGAGAAATCAGACTTCCTGTCGACTTCTGCTGCAGAGGTCGTCCCCGAAGCCGGGGAGGTGGAGAGCTCGTCAGAAATGAAGACCAGGGGCCACCCGTCTGCGCAGACGCCCGGCAGCTGTGACGGGGAGGGTTCGCTGACGTCCCCGCGACCCCATGGGCTGGAGCGAGATGCAGCTGGACAGGAAGTCCAAGCCGAAGGGCCACATCCCGCTGAGGGGGAGAGCTTAGGAGTGGACCGTGGGCTTCCAGAGCAAGATCAGCAGGGAATCCTGTCCTGCCCAGGACACCAAATCCAAGTAGCTGCTCCTGAGGGACCTTCAGGCTCTCCTGAGAACCACCGCCAGCCATCCCAGCCGGGCCCGGAAGGGGCTGTCTTTGACATGCTCGGGGAGAAGCAGCGACAGTGTGAAAATGAGGACAAGACTTCTCCAGGTGACCCAGGTTTTAAGGACCCAGGTGCGGACTCCCCCCAAATCCCTGTACCCCTGGAACCTCGGGAGGATGTGACCTTGTCCGCGCACGGAGGAGAGGAGCAGGCTTCCAGACCAGAGCTTCAAAGGGAGCTCCCCAAAGTCAGTCTGTCTGATGCTCTGTGTTCGGCTCCCAGGGACCCGGTTCCGGAGAGCCCTGTGCCAGAGCAGTTGGAGCCGCCGGCCCCAGGGAGCCCCGAGTTGCCTGCCCTTGGGGAGGACGGGCGAGAGGTGGTGTGCAGGGGCAGCGAGCCCTGTGGCATCGTGCGTCCTGCAGCGGACACTGCACAAGACTCCTCCCTCGCAGGGAGCTTGCGCGGGAACGAAGGTTGCACTGGGCGGGGGCCGAGCAAGTCCCAGCAGGAGCCGGTCGGGGTGCTGAGAGCCAGCAGCCAGCGTGAAGAAGCATGTCTCAGGGACACAGGTGCCTCTGAAGCAGCTGACGCCTGGCCCCCACTCCAGGGCTTGGGCAAGACGCAGGAGGCAAGTGGGAACACAGCGGGGGCCCTGCCCTGCTGGCCTGACTCGGTAGCTCTCCCGGATGCAGCTCAGGGCCCGCCGGGCCCAGCGCCTGCCAGCCCCGGCGTCACACCCACTCAGGATGCCCCGGAGAGCGAGGCGTGTGATGAAACCCAGGAAGGCGGGCGGCAACCAGGGCTGGCCCCACAGGAGGAAATGGAGTGTCCTGCCACCTCGGAGGCAGAGGCCCAGAAGCTTCCTGGAAGTTCCCCATCGGCCAAGGGGCAGCGAGGTGAGGCAGGGGCTGCTGCCGAGACTGGTGGGGACGTTGGCCAAGGAGACCCGAGGAGGCCGCGCGCTCCGGAGGAGCCGGGAGAAGGTACTCTGGGTGGCGGCCTCCTGCAGACGGAGCCGTGTCCCGCCCCAGGGGAGCAAGCTCCCACCCCTGCCCAAGGGGAAGCCGGCCACCCTGGGCAGCCCTCAGCCAGCTGTCAGGACGCCTTGCCGCCAGCAGGAGAGCTGGCTGGGACTTCCAGGAGCATGGTGGCTAGTCCCGCAGCCCAGGCTGTCCCCGACCCCAAGAAGCCCCTACCATCGGGGCCACCAGAAGAGGCCGCTCCTGACACTCCTTACCTGCATATTGACAGTGCTGCCAGGAGAGGGGCAGAAGATAGCCCTAGAGGTCTTGGTGAAAGCCCTTGTCCCACACAGGAGCCCCCGTGTGCCTTGGAAAACGCCGCCTCCGGGAAGCCGGCTGCGGGCCCCCTCGCCTCCCCCTCCCTCTCCCTCTCCCACCCAGGAGCTGCAGGTGGAGATGTCTCTGCAGTGCCGGCCAGCAGTGGAAGCCCCAAAGCCAGGAACTTTGAAGGACCTGCAGACCCTGTGCCCTACATGGACAGGATGCTGCCTCTGGCTAGTGGCAAGCAGACAGCAGAGGAGGAGAGAGCGGCCGGAGCGCCTGATGCAAGCACTCGGCCCCAGGAAATTCCTGCTCGCCCTGCCAGTGAGGGGGGCGTGGGGAGGATGGTAGAACCTTCCCAGGACACGAGGAAGGGCGCGTCCGGTGGTGTGGACACAGGCTCCAAGCAGACCGGCATGACGGCCGGGTTCCCTGACTTCAGGGAGCACATCACCAAGATCTTCGAGAAACCCATGCTCGGAGGCCTGACTGCCGACCGGCCCCAGCGCACGGCAGGAGAAAAGGTGGGAGCTGGCCCGAGTGTGGGGGGCAAGGACCTCAGTGTGCCCTTACGCCCAGAGAAGCTTCCGGGTGGGACTCAAGTAGAAGCCGTAGCCCCTCTCCCTGCCCCTCCTGCTGGACTCTGGGGGGACTCAAAGAACCAGAAGCCGGAGCTGGCGGTTGAGGCTGAGATTTCCCACGAGGTTCCCCAGGCTCCAGCTCCAGAAGAGCTGCTGGGGCTGGCAGGGCAGAGCCCGGCAGGTGCCGGTGTGGGGAAGGAAATGACTGGCAGCCCGCTGATGCCGAAGGAGTGCAAGGAGCTGGAGGGGGCTGGAGAAGCGGGGCCGGGGCTGGGAGGCCAGGCCGGCTCACAGCAGGGGAGCGGCCGGCAGCCGCCAGCTCCGGGCCCTTCTTCGCGAGCTGCTTCTCCAGAGACTCCTACGGGGAAAGCTGCGGACTTGCCGGTGGCTCCGCAGAGCCCCAGAGAAGGGGACTCGGTTCCAGGTGACAGGATTCCTTCTGGGAAGCAGCACCAGGACACACCCACCAGCAGCAGTCGACCCAGAGAAGGCGGTGCCTGCGGCTTTGCTCACGCCGGAGCTCCAGGTGCCGTGCCAGTGTCCACCTCTGGCCTGGGAGCATCTGGCCCCCGTGGGGACATGCCTGTCACGGCCGAGGCCGCCAGCGAGCCCTGGAACCCCGACACACCTGGGGGAGAGAGGAGGCCTGGGGGCGCTGCTGGGACCTCAGAGGAACAAAGTACCCCGGGCAACCAGAGTGTCCCTGAGCCAGCAGCAGTGACAGACACTCCCCCGGAGCCCGGCGTGGTGGCAGGGGCTGCTAGGGAAGCGGAGGGTGACGTCACTTTGAGCACAGCTGAGACCGGGGCACGTGTGTCTGGTGACCTGCCGGAAACAGGTACGACGAGGATGTTCCCTGGAGTGCCTCCTGCCTCTGTACCGCCAGGGAGCTGTGGGGACCCCGGCTGCTCCCAGGGGGCTCCGGGGATGGAGGCTGCAGACGCCCTGGGTGCGGAGAGCCCAGCTGGGCACCAGCAGGCTGAGCCTCCGCCTCCTGCTGGGGACGGGAAGGCACGTGTCTCCTCGCCTCCAGGACCTGAAGAAACTCGGGACCCTAAACTGCAGAGCCTGGCTCCAGAAGCACTCCATGCTGAAAGGTACTTAAAAGAATAAATTCCCATGGGAAGGTGGGGTCCGCTTCACAAGTGGTTCTCACCCTGGTTTCTGTAAGTCAGTCAAATAGGTGGGTCGTTATTAAGGAGCTACGTTTTTCCACATCTAATTATTTACAGTTTACCTGCTTACAGTCCGTCTCTGGATGTGCTGAGATTATGGAAATTGTGGGCGGAATGGGTGGAGGCGTGGGACCTGTTTGTTTAACCAGTCTTACGCCTTCCCTTGTGTTGTTAACTCATCCTGCTCAAACTGTTTCCAAAGCACGAGCTGTTTGCCGGCTGGCCGCGCACCGCTGGGTCACAGGCTACAGTCGATCGCTGTTTACCCGGAGTCCAGACAGCTCTGCTTTTGAATCTGTATTTATTTACGCAGAGACGCCTAAGTGATCCGAAAGCATCCCAAACCCATGGACTGTCCCAAACGCATTTCTGTCCCAGGGCTGTGGACTTAGTAATCATTTTCAACAGGACACGAAGAGCGGTGCCCTTCGTACCATCTGTTGCTTTCTTTCTTTTTTTTTAAAGATTTTATTTATTTATTTTAAGAGAGGGAAGGGAGGGAGAAAGAGAGAGAGAGAGAGAGAAACATCAATGTGCGGTTGCTGGGGACCATGGCCTGCAACCCAGGCATGTGCCCTGGCTGGGAATCGAACCTGAGATGCCTGGTTTGCAGCCCACGCTCAATCCACTGAGCTATGCCAGCCAGGGCCATCTGTTGCTTTCTTAATGCCATCTCAGGACGAGCCCGGGGCCTGGCCCATCCCCTTCAGTTCCCGAGAAGGGTGCTCCAGAGGTCACGGGCGAGGTCATTTCCAAGGAGGCCAGCAGTGTGGGAGGAGCAGAAAGGTCAGCAAAGAGGTAGGAGCCTTTGGAGCACTGTGGTGCCTGCCCGTGGCGGGGGCACACGGAGTGTTTTACGAAGGGGGGCACCGCGTAGGCACGAGTCCTGACACAGGAGGAAAGCAGAGAGCCACCCCCTTCTTGACACGGGTGCAGCAGCCCCCGAGGTCACGGAGAGCTCCATGGTTGTAAGAGGGACCGAGCGAGTGGCTTTCTTAGCGGGGCTTATTATTTCTTTTGAAAAAGCCAGCTTTACTGAGAGGTAATTCGCATACTGTGTAAGTCGCTCATGTACAGTATACGATTCAATGGCTTTTAGTATCATCAGAGTTATGCGATCGTCACTACAATTTTAGATCATTGGCAGCTCTCCCCGCCAAAAATCCTGCACCCCTTAGACATCACACCTCAATCCTCCACCCCCCCCGCCCCCCCGAGCCCTAGACAACCACTGATCTAGTTCATTACCTTTTGAGGCAATGGGCTCAACACGGGTTGACTCTCTGGAGCAGCAATCTCTGATCACCAGGAGCCATCGCTCCGCAGAGATCTCAAGGTTAGAGGGGGCCACACGGCAGAGGTAACAGATCCCAGTCCTTGGCACTTGCAGGGTGCCTGCCTCCTCGTCCCTAAGCAAAGTGCCCCCTCTGGTTGTGCAAAATTTGCCGCCGGGAAGTTTCATCTTTGGGGGGAAATGGAGGTATTGTGGGCAGGTACCTCGTGAACAGGCTTCACAACATCCTTCCTCAGACCTGCGGCTGTCTGGCGTTGTGCGTGCGCGAGCGCGCGAGCATGCGCGCGCACGCGAGCAGGGTGGAGTTCGCCTTTACATTGGTACCTGTGACGGGCTGTTATTGTGTTCTCCCAAACAGCTGCAGGCATTTTATAAATGGTTGGACTCACATTGTGCGCACGCTGAAAGAATGTGCGGTCACCTGTTCCTTCGCGTCTGAGCACACCCACCAACACCCAGCTGCCGCCCTGCCCGACAAGGGCAGCGCTTGTCCTAATTGGGCGGAGGGGTGCAGGCGCTGCGGCCAAGACAGATGCGGCTTCCGTCTGCATCGGACGCTCGCCGTCTGCTGCTGACCGGGCGCGGATCTCCCCGCAGCCCTTGGCGGCATGCAGTTCGACATTCCCAGTTCAAGGGGAGGCAAAACATCCAACCAGGAGAAATATCTACCCTCCCTCACCCCACAAACGAGGGATTAGCTCTTTGTTCAGTGTCCCTGGGTATTTTATCCCCTTCTTGGAGAACTCAGGACCAAACGTGCTGTAGGTTAATGAATATTTTATGGTTCATTGTTTTAATCACTATATGTTTTAATATTATAATTTCTTTTTTAAAATATTTTACTTATTTATTTTTAGAGAGGGAAAGGAGCGAGAGAGAGAGAGAGAGAGAGAGAGAGAGAAGCATCCATGTGCAGTTGCTGGGGGTCGTGGCCTGCAACCCAGGCACGTGCCCTGACTGGGAATCGAACTGGCGATACTTTGGTTCCCAGCCTGCGCTCAATCCCCTGAGCTACGCCAGCCAGGGCAATATTATAGTTTCTAAATTAATATTAAAGAATTTGTAAGGTACAGAAAAGTATAACGGGAAAGGGAAGGATTCACAACCATACCACCTAATGATTATAGTTAATCGTTTCAGTGTGTTTCCCCCCACTTTTTTTCTGTGTAAGTTTTCAGAGACTTGATCTGCCCCCCCTCCCCGCCCCCCCACCATCAGAACTCTTCGCCAACACGCCTTAGCGGCTGAAGTCGCATCCCTTACCACAGTTTCCCAAGCAGTGGGCGTTCAGGTTGGGACAGAGGCTTCCTGCCCGCTGTGCATAGTGTCCTTCGAGTCATAGCCCTCTAGACTCTCCAGAGCTGGGCCGACCGGGATGCCTGCACTCACCAGACGTGAGTGTTGTGCTGTGTGTGTAAGCACACACCTGAGGTTGAAGATGTAGCCTGAAAAAGACAATATGTATCATTAATTATTTCCATATTGACTATAGGTTAAACTCGTATTTTGAATGTATCGGGTTAGACTATAGTATTAAAATGAATTTCACTTATGTTTTTTCTTGTTTTAAATGTGGCTACCCCAAAATTTTGAAATCCCACATGTGGCTTTTGAGTACAGGGCTTGCATTTGTGGTTCCAGGTCTATTTCTGCTTAGATCATTTGCTTCCAGAGCCTGCTTTGCCCTGCTCCCTGAAGGAGTGAGGATGAAGAGGGCGGGCCTTTCTTGTGCTTTGGGCTCTGGGGAAGTTGCTCTCCCACTCTGTCATTGGTTGAGGATTTCTGGGGAGAATTCTCATTGGGCCCTCCCCTCCAGCCTGCCAGGTGAGGTGACCTCTGGGCTCCCCCCCCTTAAGGGGAATTAAAGAGGCATCAACCTCTGAACGAATAGGCTGCAACAGATTCCAGCTTATACTTAGTCGATAGTCAAAGGTCTCCAGAAGGGTCCAGACCAGCTCTGCCTGGTGGAATTATGGCACGAGCCACAGATGTAACCTTGAATTTTCTAGTAGCCATGTTAAAAATGAAACAAATTTTGATTATATATATAAATAATTACAATATATAATTTAATAACTACCAAATTCTCTTTGATAATATATTTTATTTAACAGCCTATCACAAATGCTTTCATTTCAACATGTAATTGATATAAAAATTATCCAGGTGATACTCTCCATTCTTGTTTTCTTTTTTTAATTTAACTTTTATTTCTTTTTTTTAAAGATTTTATCCATTTATTTTCAGAGAGGGAAGGGAGGGAGAAAGAGAGAGAGAGAGAAACATCAATGTGCAGTTGCTGGGGGTCATGGCCTGCAACCCAGGCATGTGCCCTGACTGGGAATCGAACCTGTGATACTTTGGTTCGCAGCCCACGCTCAATCCACTGAGCTACGCCAGCTAGGACCATTCTTGTTTTCATAGTAAGTCTTTGAGATCCTGTGTGTGTCTCGTGCTCACAGCACATCTCAGTGTGGACCGGCCACATTCCCAGCACTCAGCAGCTGTGAGTGGCCTGTGGCTGCCACCCTGTACCCCCCAGCCCCCAAAGTGTTGTGACAGTTTCGACAAGCCTTCCCGTGGGGTCCCCACAGTCCTGCATCTCTATGCCCAGCAACCGCAATCCTGCAAGTTTAGTATAAACATTGGGAATGCTTCTTTGCCCTGAAGAGGAGGCTTTACTACCTCTGGTGAACCTGTTCACCACGAGGAGCTGTGCCAGGGACCTGGGCAGGTCTCAGAGAAAGTCTGGTCCAGGCCAGGACATGTGTGTGACCTGGGAGCAGCTGGTTGCACGGGAAGGTGAAGTCCAGCAGCAGTCTGGGAGAAGCCAGGTGGCCACACTTCAGTGGAAGCTGCCAGGGCCTGGTGGCGATGAAATTCGTGCGGGGGCTCCGGATTCCCACCCCAGCTCCGCCCGTTCCTGGCTACAAGCATGGCCTCAGTTCACCCAGCTATAGAATGGGCATGTCTGTGCCTGCCTCAGCCAGTTGCCGTGAGGTCTGACATAGCTGATTCAAGTGCAGCGCCCGCAGGTTCTGGGGCTGGGTGGGAGTTGGGCTCCCATCACGGTTTTGTGGGGGGTGGGCCTTTCCCGTGCAGAGAACTGACCGCCTGCCCTTCGTCTTCGGGTGGGGCCTGTTCTCCTGGGGCTGAGGTTCCAGCCTGACTGTCGTTCTTCTCCAGTACTGAGTTCTGTGCTGAAATAATCTTTTAAAAAAGTTTATTGATTTTAAAGAGAGGGGAGGGGTTGGGGAGAAAGACAGACAGACATCAGTGTGAGAGAGGAACATCAGTTGGTTGCTTCCCATAGGCACCCTGACCTGGGATCGAACCTACAACCTAGGTGTTTGCCCTGGCCAGGAATCGAACCCCTAGCCTGTTGATGTAGGGGGCGATGCTCCAACCAACGGAGCCACACTGGCCAGGGCTGTCTGCTGAAATGTATTAATGGCTGAGGCGAGTGAATTCTTTCTTACCCTCTACTGTGGAGCCCACAGCAATCTGCTTCCAGTTAAAAGGTTTTGAGATTGTGTTTTATTCCAAAACCTTACATGTATCTTTTACTGCGTGTTGTAGCATACTATATTTCAACATAAAGTAGTATTTTGAGTTGCCGCGAGAAGAG